AGGCAGAGAGTTCACACCCATAAGTTAACTCCCTTAAATGCCTACAACAACCCCTGGCCAGAGAGCCTAGAGCCAGGAAATTGATCCAGGTTGATCAGGTGGGTGGAAGGCACCCAGTCTCTTGAGCCTGCATCTGCTGTTTCCTGAGGTCTGCGTTAGCTGAAGGTGGAGTCAGGAGCCTGAGCCAGGAGTTGAACTCAGGTGCTCTGATAGGGGACACTGGTGGCTTCATTGGTGTCTCAGCCAGTGGACCCAACGCCTGCCTCAATCAGGTGTTTTAAAAAGAAAGGCATGAAGGATTTTCCCAAGAATGTTATACTCGTGACATTATGAGAGAGTAAAGGTTTGAGTTAACAGGTGGTGAAAGTCAAGGTCAGAATCAAATGATACCGAAAAAGTTAAAGGATAAGCTTTTGTTGAGAAATGAGGTAGAAGCAAGAAACAAAAGTGACTCAGGTTTGTTCCTGTTGCTGTTGTAAAAATTGTGATGCTGCTGACAATGGATAGGAAGAAATCAGGAAAACTGGGTTGGAAGATACTCAAGTAGCTTCCAGGAGCATCGATGCTCTGAAAAAAAAAAGAGTGTCCAGGAGAAAACAAGAATCTGTGGGAGTACAGGAGTATAAGGCAGAACATAGAGGAAGGACTGACAACTTGCTCTGCATGATTTTCTGCAGTTGTGAGCTGAAAGGAGAATTAATAAGGAAATGCAATGAGAATCAGCAGAATGTCACTGAGTGGAAGCATAATGAGCTTGAGTTTGAAGGATGAAATTTGCAAAGAGGTAACAAGAACAATGCAGGGAAAAATGTGCAATCTGGAGCATGTTGGTCTAGACATTCAGGCGTCAGATTATTTTAAGCATTGGGCATGCTTGTTCATTTTGTTTGGGGCTTCAACATTGAACTGTTTTTTTCCTTAATTGCCGTTGAACTATTTTCCATGAACTATTTTCTGTTCTTGCTTGTTTTAGCAGATTTCTTCTCTTCCTTAACACACAGTGTAGGAGGTTTTTAATATCACATTAGTATTTCTCATATTCAATAATTTATTATTCTGAACTCACTTGTGCAGTATGATAATAGTATGAGGGGACTTAAAAACGTTTATGCAAAATAGAATGGAAAGTTCATGTGGGTGAAAAAAAATTTTTAATGACATTTTCCTTGAACTTTTGAAGACTTCTCACAGGTTGTTGTGAACAGATGAATAGTGATTAGAGTATAGAAAATAACTCAATAAATATTGTTTTTACAGTCTCTAGCTTTATGGATTCTGTGTTTTGTATGTACAACTACCTGAACTTTTCTTTCAAGTAAAGATGATGACGTTTATTGTTATTGGGTTCTCTTTTGGGTCAACATGATAGGTGAGGTTAACAGAAGTTTTGAGAGCCACAGTTTTATAAGAGACCTTTGATGCTTAATCCCAAAGTTCCTGCAGTTATTGTGCTTGCTACGCTAAGTATACACCACAAACCCAGAACTTCAAAGACAGAGAAGAAATACCAGATTCTTTTTCATTTCTCCCAGTGGTTAATGCAGGTCTCTGTTTCCTTTCTCCATGGCGACCCAAGAGAGGAGTGCCAAACCAAAGACCTTAAGAGTTGTCCCATTTGACCGTTTAAAGGATGTGTTCATCTCTGCTGGAAGGAATAACCACAATATTCAGCCAAGTGAATTGAAAGCAAGTTAAATGACCTCCAGCACTCCTGTTTTGATAATATTTGAGTGTCTTTTATGCTTGTCCACGAAATAAAATTTACTGCATGGCAAAGAATGCCAGCAAAGATTTTTCATCAACTTAATTTAGAAGAGAATTATTCTCTTGAATAGACCCATTCTTTGTTTGAATACAAAGCAATCTTTTCATGTGTTTTCCAAATAATCAGCATGCTTTCCTCTACCTGAGTTTCCACAAGTGTCTTTTAATAAGACATAATGTACTTTTTCCTAATAGTGGTTTCAGACTCTCCAATATAACTTCTCTATTTCAGTTCATGCCCAAATTTCCTTTTATCTAAGTCATAAATCTGTAATTTGTGAAGCCTTTCTCCCAGATTTAAAGCTGGTTCTCTGTTCTTTCTGGCATAGAGTTTAGATTTTATATGTCCCTAAGTAAATTTTTTCCAATGGAGAGATGTGGGTCTAAGAATATTTATTATATTATAAGCAAAGCAAAAATGGAAAGTCTGTCTGAAAGTTAAGAAATGGCATAAATCTGTCATTCATTTCATCAGTCATTTTTATGATTTTCAAATCTGAGCCTTTAAATGAAATATTTGCTCAATATGTTATGGTAATTTTAATATAGAAACATTTATATGGTCGTGGTGGTTTTGGACTATCTCTTTATATTGTTAAAGTGAAACTTTATTTTTTATAATGTATTTTTTTACATTTTTAATATGTAGTAATTATGCTTAATTATGGGTTTACCATGATAGTTCAATCCATGTATGCAATGTGTAATGATTAGATCAAGGTAATTGGCATTCCCACTGCCTCAGACATTTCTTTGCATTGGGAACATTCAAACTATTCCTTACCAGTAGCTTTTTTATGGTGTTTTTTTTTTTTTTTTGCTTTGTACCAATAACTTTTAACTAGTCAATTAGTTAGTATCTTCCATCGTTATCCTACTATGCAATAGAACCTTAGGAGTTATGGCTCTATCCAACTGCAGTTAGTCACCTCTCTACATGCCCATAGACTCAGATAGTCACCATTATTTTATTTCTAGAGAACAACTTTTTACCTCCCACCCATAAATGAGAATATGCAGTATTTGACTTTCTGTGTCTGACTTATCTCATCCAGCATTATGTCCTACAGTCTCATTCATGTTACTGCAAATGCCAGAATTCCATTTATTTTTATGGATGGATAAAATTCCATTACGTCCCATATGGGATGTAAATAATTTATTATATGACATTTAAGATTTTTGTTTCAGTGTTTTCATGTTCTGTCTCATGTGTTTTCTCTCCTTATATATTACTAATAAAATATTTAGGATAATTTCTGGCATATGATGTACCATGTTTATTATTATTGCTTATTGTTATTACTTGGCAATTATAAATAATCCAAATGTTACTAGTTACAATGACATTCAACAATAAATCCTTTAATTGTGCCAACTAAAACATGTTTTAGAACAAAATATTAAATGTCAAATATTATCTAGTAAAATAGAGAAGTAGAGCTATTCAAGGTTATTATAACACATAGATTAATGAAAACTGGTTCAATTAAAATAGTTGATTCTTTTTTTCTTTTTTTTTTTTTTGAATGAGCAAATGAGAGCACTTCCATCTGCTGGTTCACTTCCCATATGCCCACAACAGCTAGGCCAGGCTGAAGCCTGAAGCCAGGAACTCTGACCTGGAGATCCTACATGGGTGCTAAGGACTCGAGTGCTTGGGCCATCCTCCATTCCTGCACAGCAGCAGAGAGCTGCATTAGAAGTAGAGGAAGGACGCAATCCCAGTCACTGGCAGGCATTCCAAGCAGTGGCTTAACCTCTGGCACCACAATGCCATCCAACCAGTTCACTTTGAATAACCCTGGGTTTTCCTATAACACAAATACTGTTTTCTTTTTTAGAATGCATTCCAAACTAAACTACTCTTTCTGACAATGTTATTTCATCAGACGTTCTTCAAACATTTGTCTTCTCTTGGGGGCAAGAACCACCCATCATATCACTTTTTCATTTCCGAGCCTTCTTAGTGAATGATTTTCATCACTTATTTGTGAAATTGTTATCCACAAGGGAATTGTTCATTTTGCTCTTCTAGCACTGTTTCCACAACCCAAAGAAGGAGATGCAGTGGGGACTTGGTCTATAAGGCTGCTCACTTTATGGAACCTGCAAGTGTTTCTCAGCTCCCTTCAAGTGTCCACGGTGTCACTGGAGCCGTGGAAAGTAGCCCTATCATTCTCATCCCTCAAATGAACTTTAATGCTGAACACATTTGACACTTCCATTTAAGCAGAAAGTTTCAGTGTCTGCCTATAGGTGTATCATAATAATGTGAGCATTGGAAAATAAATTTTATACTGCATCTAGAAAAAGTTATATTCTTAACTTCCTTCTAGTCCATGTTGCCTGAATGTCTCCCCAGATAACTGCAAAACCACTCAGCTTGACCTAACTCTTATGTGAGCATTTATACTGCTGCTCATTGATTGCGTTTCCCTGGCAGACCCTCCTGATAACACAGCTGAGAATCAATTAAGCATCACAGTGCTACGGGGACACACAGATCATGCATCACTGCTTTTAGCATTCACTGCCATGTGAGTGGCAAGAATTGTTTTCTCAAATAGAGACTCAACAGGAAAATAAAAATGTTTATATTGCAAAGTTTTGTGGCCTGGATTTTGGCCGGTGTGGTGGTGGCTTTTGCATTTTTAGGCTTTTCTCATTGTAATTAAATTGAGTCCTTGAATATAAACCTTTCAAAGGGAATGAAGTTGAAAAAATAAAATGCTAACAGCAGGATCATTAGAAGTTGGACTTTAATATCTTCTTTTGTTAAATAGGTTGCTGTTTTCATTATTCCTTGTTTATTGCAGCTCTCCAAATTTTGATCAAAAGACTCACTGAAGATTTGAAAAGAATTAGAGACCCCCGAGCCTGGGATGGGTTTTTAAGGACTAGTCAGTGATGGCTTTGACATCCTTTTTTTCTGAGAACATTTCCCCTCAATCCTTTTAACAGACAACAACATTGTCTAGGTTAAAAGACCACCTTTTGTGAATGTTTTGGATAGACTTCCAAGTGTGTTTTTAAGGGTTCACGTCTCTCCAAATGGGGCATCTGCTTCCACAGTCATAAAACACAGAGGGAGTATCCTACGCAGTGTCCTAGGTGTCAGGGGCTCCCGGAGCGAAAATGATCACTCTTCCATGTGACGGATGACAAGCTGAGGAGTGCCTTCCCCCTCTTTCTCTGGTTTCCATGGTACTAACTGTCAGCATCTTTTGTTGCAGGCAGAATACTTCTATGAATTCCTGTCCTTGCGCTCCCTGGATAAAGGCATCATGGCAGATCCAACTGTCAATGTCCCCCTGCTGGGAACAGTGCCTCATAAGGCATCAGGTGGGTGGCCTTTGCCATGTAGTAAGGTTTACACTTAAAGTATTTTACTGATGAGACCCAAATAGCATCCATCAGAAGGATTATAGAAATTTTGCCTGAAGAGATCTGTTGGTTTGGGGATGGTTCGGTTATATCTTGTACAAAGGATTAGGATGGGACTAAAGAAATGGTTCTGTAATTTTCTAAAAACTCAAAATAGCTCAGGCTACACCTGCTTCATAAAGGATTCTGGAAAAAAGGAAAAAGAAAACAACCCTGCCTGGTGAGATATGTTCACCCCTAAACTGTGAGTTGATGTAGAGCACATTCATGTAAGTGAAGATTGAAGTTAAATGTCTGGAGATAAAGAGGATTAGTCAAAAATTTCCCCAGAAGTTAGCATTGTGTTATAAATATATTTGATTAAGAAAAGGGCTGTGGAAAAACAGATAATAGATATTCAAGGTTTCAAGGCCAATCATCTTTTTTTGCTAAGGCAGGAACAATGTGTGCTTCACTTCTGCTTTCCAGCTTGCAGAGCAATCAAGCCTGCACTGTTAACTTTGAGTCCTGGAGGAGACAAGGCCAGAATCACAACTATCTTTTATAAGTTAAACATTTTTGATTTACTACGCCTAATTGACTTTTCCCAAATCATCCAAATGTCAGTAGCAAGTGGTGGAGTTAAGACAAGGTTTCTGAGTTTTTGGGAAAAACACAGAAAGTCTCCATGCTAATAAGCTCACATATTTCTACCTAGACTTTTTTCTATGAATATGACTTTGTACATAATTGTAGTAAATAGTGTTGCACTGTGATTTTTGCTCTTATCTTTAAGGTATTTGTTACCTGGAAAGAGTGGCAGAGGAGGAGAGAGGGCAATCTTTTCCCTACTGCTTCACTCCCCACTTGCCCATACACGCAGGACTAGCACTGGTCAAAGCCAGGACCAGGAATTCCATCCAGTTCTCTGATGGGGCTGGCAGGAGACCACGTATGACTTCTTGGTGCATTGGCAAGGAGTAGGATGGGAAACAGACAGGCAATGGCAAGCAATCGGCAATGTTTGTCCCATTTTCAACACTTTAGCAGGAACATGTTTCCCATGCTTGAAACAGAATAAACATTCTCTTAAAATTAATAGTAAAGTATGTAGAGGCAGGAGCCCTATTTGTCTTATCATCATAACTCCCATCACCTGCAAGCCACTGCATGCAGTCAGAAACTCATTGTTAGATAAGATAGGTAACGAGATCTTGGCACTTACCTCATTACTTTGTTGATGGACTCTTAAAATTGGAATTATTGTATCAAAGGGCATGAATCATGAACCTTTAAAAAAATCTCCTTAAACAAATTAAAGTAAAATACTCTTAAAAACAATTATGAGGGGACCCAGTGCAATAGCCTAGTAGAAAAAGTCTTTGCCTTGCATGCCCGCCAGGATCCCATATGGGCACCGGTTCTAATCCTGGCAGCCCTGCTTCCCATCCAGCTCCCTGCTTCTGGGCTAGGAAAGCAGCTGAGGATGGCCTAAAGCATTGGAACCCTGCACCCATCTGGAAGAAGCTCCTGGCTCCTGGCTTCAGATCAGCTCAGCTCTGGCCATTGTGGCCACGTGGGAAGTGAATCATCAGACAGATCTTCCTCACTGTCTCTCCTCCTCTCTGTATATCTGACTGTCCAAAATAAATAAATAAATAAATAAATAAATAAATAAAACAATTATGACCACAATGCCAAATTACTTTCCATAAGGGTTGTATCCATTTGTGCCCTGGCTAGCAGGGTAAATGGGCTTACTGTATTCTTATCAACATAAATTCTTAATCATGCTAGCAATATTTTAAATTTTTAAATATATATATATTTTTTATTAATTACATTGCATTATGTGACACAGTTTCATAGGCTCTGGGGATCCCCCAACCCCTCCCCCTATCCTTCCCCCAAGGTGGATTCGTCCACCTTGTTGCTGTATTAAATTTCAAATTCAGTCAAGATTCTTTCATTGCAAGAATATACCAAGCATAGAGTCCAGCATCTTATTGTCCAGTAAATTCAACAGTTTCTTGGGGAGACCATCTCTGGTCTGAAGGCAGAGCTGGCAGAATATCATCCTGATCAATTTAAAGCCACAACATAACATCAATGACAATTTACAACATTATGGAATTAATTGACATGGTATTCAGTAACCAATATGTTAAAAAAAAAATGCCAGTTCTTAACCACATCCTGTGACTACTTCATTGACATTTCAATTTTAGTTTATACACAGAACTGACTGCTATACACCTTAAAATGGCTATAGAGTACTATTCAGCTGTCTCATGTCTGTTTTCATTTTAGTATTTCATGCTAGCAATTTTTTGCTAGCATGAAAATGAATAGCAACTTCTCTGAGTTTCCTTTCATTTGACTTTTTAAAATTCCTATTGAGATAGGGAATATTTTCTGGTCCCACTAGGCAATATAAAATGTCTATGTGCCATGTTTGTTTATATATTGAGGTAATGTTCTTATTGATTTATATAAGTTATAAATGACATTTACCTTTTATTGGAATATTTTTCAACTTGTCATTTGAATACATTTTATTGGATAGGAAACAAAGATCGATGAGATCAAATCTGCCTTTTCCTTTGTGATTTTTTTTCCATTCTTTTTATGCTTGCCAATTAATTCCTATTCCAGGGAGCAGTTAAATGATAACTTATGCATGTTTCTCAGAGTTCATAAAAATTTATTTTGGCAGTAGTGTGAGTTAGGGCTCTAGCCTGAATTATTTTTCTAAGTGATCAGGTTTTCTAATGTGAAAAATTAAATTGTTTCAAGATATGCTTTCTATTTCATGTTCTTTCTATTTAAAGTTCTTCTACATAAACGTTGGTTTAGAACTTACTCTTTATTTTAGGATTGGAATAGCTTCGTAGTGTTTCAAAGTGGTTGATAATATAACCTGTTTCAAAAAAATCATCTTAATCTTCTAAAGAAATGTTGAAATAGTTGTGTTAGTATCACGTGAAAATAGGAGCTAATTTATTGCCATTGAAATGAGGCAACTAGGCCCCTTTTCAATGACAGTTTTCCAATGGTCTTGATCTCCGCTTCTCATGAATCTGTATGGCTGCTTCCCAACACTATGAGAGTCAGGGCTTGACAGACAGAATTTCCTCAGTTCCCCGGCACAGGTACTGTGAGTACAACCAGGAGAATGCATTTGAACATCTCTTGGGTCACCCCAGGGCCTATGGAATATACCTTCCTTCTAATCAGGCTTGGGATTCTGGAAGACAGAATTAGAGCTTGAGTCCTGAAAGACATGGAGCCTGCTGCACAGACATGGAAATCGATGCCATCTGTAAGGTGCTGTTGGAATCTACTCCATCAGGGAGTTGAGAAAGGCAACTCAGGGACTTTTGGAAATTCCTTGTTCTTGGAAAACATTCGTTGCTCTGCCCCATATCATGTCACTTGGTGCTCTTTTTTGGCTGAAAGTAACTTTACATAAAATTTTAATAGATTATGCCTGTAGCTGATCAGTTATGAGTAAAATAAATACATAGCATGTGTCTCAGTTTCCATTCTATATCTTTGAATTGTTTCCATTGTCTTTTCTCATTGTTGAGGGAAGCAAGCTCACAACAGCCCACTGAAAAATATTCTTAACAAGCTCGTCTTCCAAGAAATAGCACGCCTTTGGGTTTTCTAACTCAGTGTTGGTAGCCCAAGCTTTCATTCAGTTGCTGTATCTAGTAAAAGGAAATCTTTGCTAAAATTCTACTTCTTAGAATAATGACCCACAGATTTTAAACATACGATGCTATTATTTTTAAACGATTTAACTAATCAATTATCAGCTTTTATTTGAAAGGTGGCGAGACAGAATAGAGACAGGGAGCCCTTCTATTTACTGGTTCCTTTCCCAAATGCTTGCAAATTGCTGATTCTGCAACTCAACCTGGGCCTTGCACATGAGGGTCCGAGATCCAACAACTTGAGCCATCAGCAGCACCACCACCCTCAAGGTTTGCATTAGCAGGAAGCAGAGTTGGGACTGCAGCCATTCTGATATGGGATATGGGTATCCCAAGAGGTGTCGTCACTGCTGTGCCAAATGTCTACTCTGATGTGAGAATATTTAATAGATTTACTTAGGCTAAACATTTTCTAACTATGCAAAGTATTTACAAACAATACAAGTTAGAGGAAAAAGTTGACACTTTGGACAAGGTGAAATCAGAAATAAGCCCTCTTGGATAAGGTGACGGGTGATATTCACACATGTGCATACACATAGTTATCACAAATAACACACATCGTTCAAAGGCATACACGTGCACACACACACACACACACACACACACTGGCTTTTCAAAACAGGGGTAGGATTTGTTTGCAGAAATGCAGGGGTAAGAAGTTCATTGGAATTTTAAACCATTGCAGGGTAGTTATTCATTAGCCCCATTAGCTCAGTCTCTGCAGGACAACTGAAATTACATTGAGTATGAAGAAATAACCAAATAAGTGTGTCATTGTACTTAAACATTTGGGTACTGTTTTATATTCTAGAGGCCCAATTTTACTCCCAAGCTGCTAAACTGTTCTTTTATCCCACAGGTTCCCATATGCCTAAATATTGCATTAGCAAACCTCTTGCTTTTTAGCAGTTATGAAGTGCCTGTCTTCTGGCTTCTGAATAGAGCAAAAACAGGAAATATGAACTGCAGGGTGGTTCAATTCAGTAAATTACTGAGTCATATAACAAAAACCAGTTTCCATGAAGCCTAGGCTTCACTCCTTTGAACACTACAGCTCTGCCATACCCTGAAACCAACATAGCAGTGGCATATTGCTCAACCAAATCTTTCAGGAATCCAAGGTCTAGAAATGTTTGAGTGCTAAACCTGAAGAGTCTGTTTTCTTCTTGGGGATCCCATGTAATCATGTGGTCATAATTTTACCAGATATGCAGATTACCTGGTTTTTTTTTTTGCACATCTAAGGATGCAAGCAACTAATACTTGTTTTTACCTGAATTTCCCATACCGTGTATTAATAAGTTATTTTATTTACTATCCAAGATAAGTGTTGAAATTTACAACACTGTGAAGCAGAAATGAGCATGTGCTTACTTTTAAGCATCTTCTCTTCCATGCCAAGGTTGTGGAAGCTAACATAAACTGAAAAGTCTTTAAAAGATTGGGTAAGCTGCAAAGCAGGAGTGCGGTAAGGCCCAGGAGAAAGGTGTGTTTGGACAGCAATAAAGTTTGGGTAATTGCATGTGGTGAGAAAGATTCTAGAAATTCTGTTTTTATGTTTTAAGTTTGCTTCATCATTACATACTTTGAAGTAATTATTGGCTAGCATTCATGCAAAAGAACCATAAGAAGGCCAAATAAAGGTTTATGATTGGATACAGTGTAAATGTACTGGAAGGACAAGCAATTCAAATAATTTTTCAGCACCTTTGCTTCTTTCTTACTAGAAATCTCTATTAATGAAATTGCTTTCTTCTTTCAATTGGCATTTTCATAAACAGGATCTCATTAAATCAAAGTTCTCCATGGTGATTTTATTACTTTGGAATGGTAGATGTAGTTTTAGCTTTCTGTCTTAATTCTTTAAGTTGGCTGTATTTTCTTTTTGCTATATAATTAATTTTCTGCAATGAGCGCATGTGGGGACTCAGGGAAACAGGTGTAATGAACACTAACAAGGCCAAGCCTTGAGAGGTCTTTGGGGTTGCCAACCACATTCAGAAGATTGAATGATGAGCCTGTGTAGTGACAGGAAGGGACAGATCAAATTTTGTGTTCATTTCTTACTCTAAGCGTAGATTTTCCTCAGTCTAAGATGATTTGTACAAGGTTAATGGTTAATATAATCCAGCATACAGGAAAAAATGAGGCAAAATTCCACATGTACATCTATAAGCTCTGCTTTGTGTAAGCAAACATTAGTGTAGTGGATCAGTTACATCAGTCTTCCCCAGTGTAGTTTCATGACCATTCAGTGGATCTCAAAAATTCACAAAGTCAGTTTCTTTTAGTCCAGTCACATCTGACTTGTGCTATTTCTACTCTCCAGCTTCTGAGAATTCCACAGTCCATGGCCTGCTCACCATTCCTATAGAGCGGTGTCATCACTTCACAGTCTTTGTTTATGCGCACATGTCAACGCCTACATTCACCACCAAGCAATCAGACTCACAGGAAAGATGTGATTCCCTTTTAGGAACCTGCCTGAACTATTAGTTCATCACCTAAGCCTATTCATGAGATTACCCCATCACACCAAACTCTTCTAGTTCCCCAGAAAGTGACACTTGTTCATGTCAATAAACAGCCTGAGAAAATGGTAGCTTCAGTCCTTCAATTTGGTGGAATACCTTCAAAGAAGGTATTGTATGACTTTCAAGCACATAGGATGAAAATACGCTAGTAGGATATATTGCTGTTAGAGCTTTACATAGTGGGTTATAAAATGTTAATGCTCACTTTTTTGGGTTATTTGGAGGCTGGAGACCCATAATGATATTTTGCCTAACTAAACCCATCCACATTTCCCTTTAATTTTCCCTATAATTTCCAGAAAAACATTTCTCAGATTATGAACAGAATATCCAGAAAAACATTTCTCAGATTATGAACAGAATATCCCAAATTTCACAAGAGAGGGGTTGAAAATTAATGATGGTCATTCATTCTGCATCCAGCAAGATGCACCAACTCTGGACCATGCTTAGATGGTCATAACACAGCCCCTGTGCTGTGCTGGTGGAGATAGAACAAACTCCTCTATTCTCACAGACATAAAAGAACCATTCAGCATGATCAGTGTTGCTTTGTTCTTTGTCTTCCAAAGATATCTGTAAAACTGCAGTCAGCCAGGTAAACTGTTTCTGCTTTCTCTCTTAGTTGTTCAAGTTGGCTTCCCGTGCATTGGAAAACAAGATGGGGTGGCCGCGTTCGAGGTGAATGTGATTGTAATGAATTCTGAAGGCAACACCATCCTCCAGACGCCTCAAAATGCTATTTTCTTTAAAACATGCCAGCAAGGTAAGCAAGAATAGGTCTATGGGTATGAGGTGATTTGGAACAAAAAACCCTATGTGTGACTACAACCACACTAATGGGAGTTAGTGGTGGTAAACTGGGTCTAGTCACAATGGCTTTGATCTCACAAATTTTAGGAACCAAAAGATTTCTTCAAACACCCCCTCTCCTTCCTCTATACCCCTGGAATAGTCTGAGAATCCTCAGTAGCATCTTATAGTGTTCACAAATGTTCCCTATTTTTTTACTCCTGTTGCTCAGGGTAATACTGTTATTCATTGCCAATGCTTTCTACCCATCAAAGACAACAGCACCTGTTCTCATGCTGAAAGCTTGGGGTTGTTCCCATTCCAGGAAAACCAGGTGTCACTCTCATGCGAATGATCACTGCTGGGCCAGAGCTCACTCAGGCAGCCCCGCATCTCACCGCCACAGTTAGGATGCCGTAGTTAGGTAGGAAGAAGGTCTGCCTCCTTTCTTGTCCTGCACAGGCTTTCCCAGCCCAAGGTTTAAGTTCTGGAAGCTTTCGATGCTTGAAAGGTATACCACAAAGCCATTCCATCCTCTGGAAATTAATACTGAGAACAATGTTACTCTTTCTACTACATTGTGAATTTCACTATCTTAAAAAAAGTTATTATATTTAATTTTTTTTGAAAGGTAGAGTGAGAGAGCACAGAGAGAGAGATCTTTAATTCTGGGTTCACTCCCAAAATGACCACAAGGGTTGGATGAGGAACTCTTTCTGAGTCATAGGTGGCAGGAGCTCAAGTACTTAAGCTAATTTATCCTTTTTGAAGGCCCATTAGCAAAAATCTGGATTAGAAGCAGCACAGCTAGAATTCAAACTGATGCTGAGTTCCAAAATGGGATTCGGCATTGCAGATAGGGGTTTAACCCTCTGTGTCACAATGGTGTGAATCTAAGGAGGTCTAGTAGATTGATGTCAACAGGAAAGCAGAATAAACTGGCTTTACCTTCTTTCATGGCCCTCCTCCCCAACTTTTGGAGGTAAGATTAAGAAAGGCAAAAATCTTATTCTGCAGAGTTAGAAAAATCTAACAGTAGAGAGAACGTGGCAGAAGTATCTCTGTATTCAATTAATTACAATAATTGGTGTATTGGAATAATAAGTGACCACAGATGTCTCATGCTGGCTGGTATTCACTCAGCTTGCTTTCAAGGAAGCCCACATTAACTTTGTTTCTCTTGGCTGCAGCTGAGTGCCCAGGAGGGTGCCGAAATGGAGGCTTTTGTAATGAAAGGCGCATCTGCCAGTGTCCTGATGGGTTCCACGGACCTCACTGTGAGAAAGGTAAAGAATGGGGTCAGCCAGCTTCCCGGGGGACTTGGAAGTCATGCAGGCGTCTCACGTAGGTTTTTAACACATCTTTGAAGTTATTTTTCTGGTCACATTATAAGGATTAGAGACGCGTTAAAAAGCCACAGAAGAGCTATTGGAAATTAATACTTCTATGAGTGGTTTCCTATTAAATTCAGTGTGTGGTGACCAGGCAGAGAATTTGGCCCAATTCTGCACTCTCTGTGGCCATTCCTCACCCATTCCTTTTGCTTTCATCTACCCTGCATAATCTGAAGTAAGTTTGGAGGGTCTCTCCCCTCGAGTTAAACTGAGCTTAAAACCCCTGGTCTACCTTGACTTGAAGTTATCTATTCCAAGTAAAAGTAGCTTGATTCATAGGTGTACAGCAGGGTTATGAAGTCATTAGAAGCCTCCAACCCCCCTTTCTCCATGCCCTACAAAAAAGATGAAAATCATTTGCAGGATCAGTACTACTACCTGGAGGATGTTGTTATTATTATTATTTCTAATTTAGAAAATGGTTGCGAGACAGAGAAAGCTTCTAGCTGCAGGTTTACTCTCCAAATTCCCATATGGACAAAGGTGGGGTGGGATGGGAACTCAGTACGGGTCTCCCACAAGGGGAGCAGGAGCCAAAATATTTGAACCATTGCTGCCTCCCCAGAGTCTATATTAGCAGGAAGCTGGCCTCAGGAGCCAGAGTCAGGCACCAAACCTGGCATGCTGAGGGAGTATGTGGGCATCTTCACCACTGAGAAAAACTTTTAGGAAAATCACATGAAAAATGGGTAGGCAAAAGAGTTGGCATTAACCATAAGACACTTTGATAATAAAAATATATTTGACTAGCATAAATAATATTTTGCATCTATAAAAACTAATACTCTTTTATTTGAGATTATCTTGGGAATTAGAGAATAAAAGGAATAGGACAGAGAGAAAATATTTAATGCTGAGATCACATCTTAGCAAAAACAATGATTCCAGGCAAAGTTTAATCAGACATTCAAATGGAACAAGATCAAATTCTTTTCTAACAAATTGATAGATTGAAAAATGACCCAATTTTTGCAGCAGAAATAAGTTTTGAAACAGCAAACATGTCTCTTTGAAGAATGATAATTTTAGAGTCAACCACAGTGCTTAAAAATACATGAGGATTCTTCAAAGTTCATGGAAAAATTGAATTAAAATATGTTTATTTTGGTGCAAAAACTTGAGATTTCTACTCAGTTTTTTTCATAATTCAAATTTTTCATAAACTTTCAAAGACTCCTGGTATTTGTTTTTTTCCATTAAAATAAACTTTGTTTTATTTCACTTTTTGAAGTCTTCCATAAACCTTGTTTCATGATTGATATTTCCAAATGGTTTTGTTCCAAAACCCTGTTTGGTCTTAATCAGGATTCTCTCTCCCCATAAGCCCTTTGCACACCACGCTGTATGAATGGAGGACTCTGTGTTACTCCTGGTTTCTGCATCTGCCCACCTGGATTCTATGGAGTCAATTGTGACAAAGGTAACAATCTACTTCTGATAACCAAGGTCTTTTTACTTTTTAAAAGCATTTATTTATTTTTATTGGAAAGTGATATATGCAGAGAGGAGGAGACACAGAGAGCAAGATCTTCTGTCCAATGATTCACTCCCCAAGCAACCGCATTGGCTGGAACTGTGCCGATCCAAAGCCAGGAGCCAGGATGATCTTCTGGGTTTCCCATGCAGGCTCCCAAGGCTTTTGGCTGTCCTTGACTGCTTTCCCAGGCCACAAGTAGGGAGCTGGATGGGAAACTAAACAGCTGGGATTAGAACCAGCGCTCATATGGGATCCCAGTGCATGCAAGGCGAGAACTTTAACCACTAGGCTACTGCATTGAACCAGTCTTTTTGCTTTTAAAATATGTGATGAAAATAATTATCCTTCCTATACAATTGTTCCTCCTAACAGCTCTATCACTCAGGGTAAAGATGACTACTGTAATAACTGGAACTCCAATTTTAGTGAAATCCAACATAGCGCAGGTTTGTTTCTACTCTCAGAGTGCAGGAATTCCTAGACAGTGGGCAAGGCAGCTCTTGTAACAGTGTCCCAGGAGCCTAATCCCAGCCTCCAACATCCTGCCCAGAGTTTTGAGCCTTCTAGAACTGACAGAGAAAGAAAGTAGACACTGCTTTAAAAGCAATCCCTGGCTCAGGGGTCACCCTTACACCTTTCATATCGATTCCAGCATTATCTTGATTGACCCTACTTGGATCTGGGCAGAAGAAATGTCTCTGGCTGGACAGCTGTCTCCTGTCAGCCACGTGGGTTATGAAAGGGGAGCATGGTAGATGAGTATTGCTGATGCCATATCACAACCCGGCATGGTCACTGTTGAAGGAATATATCTATCTGTGCTCCTACATATTTTACTTTTTGTAATATTCGTCTTTCAGATGAAAGATTTCTCCATTTAGTAATCTTTTTAAAAATTCTCTTAGAGTTCATCTGTGGGGTTGGGGCAAAAGTAGCTTCCTGCAGTGTGGTGGCTGTGGGAGGTGCCCCAGCCAAGCCAGACCCAATGCTGGGGACACAGGCCAAAGTCACTGCCAAAAGGCAGTGACCGAGTCCTAGGCTTTGGGCGGTCAATGTGCCTATTGGGCATAAGGCTCTGCCTATTGGCTGCCCAGCGGTGAGCTCTGGGGTTTTTAGGATATGTAATTGCTACCTAGGGACACCTATGGATAACGCCAGTGTGAGTGTAGGTGAGGGAAGAATTCTGGGTGATTCCCAGCAACGGGGTCTCTAAACTTTCTGGCAAGCATGGGGGCTGAGACCTGGTGGTTTGGAGGGGAGAGTCCATAAGATCTATTTGGGCTAGACTGATTCACCAGCCCAAATGGGTATCCTGAGATGGGCTATTAGTATAGAGCATCACTGACTGCCATACACCAGTCCACATGAAAGCTATGGATGGGGGCATGTCTGGCAGGGCTAGATACCAGTACCTGACTGAGTGGTGGAACAGTGGATGGGTCATATTTGGCAGGGTCAAGACACTAACCAACATACCAGAGAACTAGGTCCAGGTGTAGATTCTGTGGGGGAAGTGTGGACCCAACCCTGTGGAAATACAAGTCCTGCTGGTTAGCTTACAAGCTGGAGTGGTGATGAGCTGAGCTAGGTGTGGCCATGGAACCTGCCATCATTTACGGGTAAAGGAATCAACAACAGTCTGGGCAGGTCAAGGCAGCAGCACCCGAAAGTGCATCCTAAAATAGTATGTGGGGTGGGCCAAGCTGCAACTGGAAGGGGGCGGACTGGGCAGGGCTGAGCAAACCTCAACTCACAAGGAAGAACTGAATTCAGGATGGCACACAGGTCATGCCAAACTAGGCTCTTACACCGACTGGTCTGCATGAGCCAGGGATACTAGGCCACAGCATTGAAAGCAAAGGCTGAGACAGGTGAGGGGTTAAGCCAACTGGGTCAGAGCATCACTGGCACACGTGTAATCTAGGGCTGGGAATGGGCTCGGTTGGGGAGCTGTGAGAGTACACCCTTGCTGGGTTGGGGTTCCCACAGGAGAGTGTGGAGGCCAGAGAGGGAGCTGCATTTCGGTCTGGATATGGCTTCAATCTCCCTTGGCACAGGTGTGAACTGGGGCTGGGTGCACTGAGCCAGGCTAGACTCCAGCACCAGGGAGAACCTGAGGTGGGCCTGGGGGGGGTTGTGGGTCACTCTGACTAGGCTGTAGCTCCCACTGATTTTTGTGAGGGCCGAGGGTGTGCTGGGCAGAATCAGGCTGGACTGCAATACCCATTGGTTCATGTGGAAACCAGGGTTGAAATCAGAACTGACCCAGCAATTACAACCACAAGCTGATTGGGAATCAAACCCAGGTCCTCTGATGTGGCACACAGGACATCCTCATGGCATCTTAACCAGTAGGTTGAATGTCTGTCCCAGTATTTGTGATTTTTAAACACGAAGTTTATCATTTAAAAAGCATGATATTTATGATATTTTTGTTTGGACCATTTTGTTTTTCCAGAAGGAAAGCATACACTTAAACTCTTGGATTTCCTTTCTAATTTCCCAATGGAAGCTTACACTAACTTTTGTCCACAGATAGCCAACTTTGACCTGTTTTAATTGGCACAAGAACAAGCAAGACATATAAAATTGCTAACAATTCTAACACTCTTTTTAATCTATGTATTCCATTTTCTGAGACTATAACAAAATACCCAAGGCTGAGCCCTTTAGGAAAACAGAAAGGTTATTTAGGTTACAGATAGGAGGTTCAAGGGCATAGCACTGACAACTGCTTGGGTTTTGCGAGCACGTCTTTGGCGAGATCGCAACATGGTGGGAGTGTGTGACAGGAGGAGGTCACGTGCACAAGAAGAAGCCAGAGTGCAGGGAGAGAGTAGCCTTGCTGTGATTGTAACAACCTTCTCTGGTGGGAACATCCTGGAGTGTCATGAGAACTACACTAATCTCTTCACAGGGCAGAGCCCCCAAGTTTCCAAATCCCCTTTCACTAGGTCCACTTCACAGAGGTTCCACCACTTCCTGGCGTCACTACACTAAGGACCAACCTTTCAACACCCGGGCCCTCGGGGGACAAATCACCACCAACCCACCTATTTTACAGAATAAATTAACTTGCTCACTTTTATGTAGTTCCTCTTTCCTTGTCTGCATTTATCCATCTTTTTTCTGTCTTAGGTTCAATTGAGCAGTGAACTTCCAGAAATTGACACAGCGGGCTCAGGGGCATTTTAGGATGAATCCTAAATAATGTAATTGTTACATGGGTAATCTAGTTCATTGGACTTGTGCTATCAAAATTCAACTTCTTCAAGCCTCCAGCTTGTACAACCATCGCGTGCCCATTGGCTGGCTTTCATTAGGGTGCAATCTCTTTTTGAATACAATTATTATCCTCTATAATGGTCATAAAAAAGTTTTTAAAAACCCTTTTGGATAAACTGAGTCGCTATCTTATTGAAAGCAGCATTGCTTTCTCTTCTTTTGGATCCTAATATTAAGACTTTTTTCTCCCTTTTATCTCTTCCAAAGCAGATTGTCCCCATTGATACCTTCACTTTATCTTCCAATTGAATGTTTCAAGAAAGCATTTTTCTTGGGTTTGTAGCATTCATTTCTTTTTAAGGGCATAGATATTTGTAAGAAATTGTTTTACACATAGTGATGTTTTTCACTAAAATGTAAAGTCAGGTGTGAGAGACATTTAAGTGGTATCTTAGGTTTTGGAATCTGCCAATAGTCAAGCAATACTTTTTTTTTTTTTTTTATCTGTTAAGAGGTTTCTTTTATTAAGTAAGTGGAAACGAAGCAAATCATCTGTTTTTAAGTGCAGATTTGTTGAATTTTCCCGACAGTCAATGTAACACCCTGCTTTTCATTCCAACAGCTAACTGCTCAACCACCTGTTTTAATGGAGGGACGTGCTTCTACCCCGGAAAGTGTATCTGCCCACCAGGACTAGAGGGAGAGCAGTGTGAAGTCAGTGAGTACTGATTTTTGCATTCTTTTTGTTTTGGGCGTTGGATAGCAGGCTTAGGAATTTAATCTCTTCCTTTTATCAAAAAGGAATGTGAAGGCAGGAGAATTAATAGTTTATCTAGTTCTAGGTTAGGGTTTCTTGATTTATCCATCACCTACTTTAGCTAAAAATGAGGCAGAAGGTGACATAAAACTTGAGAGGATTTAGAGCAAGTGTTCTCCCACTTGGTAATCTGGAGGTTTGGATCATTCAGGATGTGGGTGCTTTTATCTCTCTCTCCTTACACAGAAGCCAGTGCTTCAGCCTAGAATTGGTGGCCAGAACTTTGGGACAAATGGCATTTGTTCACCTACCTACATGCATACAGAAATTTTATCTGCCACCCACCATTAGACATCCTAGACTAGACTAAGTCTAATAACTTGCCTCAGAGAAAATGATAGCTCCAAGGATGGGAGGATAAAAGATGCCCATAAAGCAGCATGACTTAAAAGTACATGAGTTGCAGAGAGATTACATGCTGTGAAAAGAGCCAGACACAAACATAGCCTGCACTGTGATTTCAAATTTTTGAAGTTCAAAAACAGGAGCAATTAATGCACAATGTTAGAAACTAAAATCATGGTTGGGAGCACATAGAAACTTTATGGGGTGCTGAAAATTGTTCTCATGTTTTTGGTGAAATATCATTTGTGTGTCTAATAAAAATATAGGTTAAGGGGTGAAGTTTAAATTTTAAAAACTGGAGAAATTAGGTGTGCTGCATTAGTTTTGACAAATATATTAAAGTGAGATGTTACTAACAGATTGTGACAAATATAGGAAGTTGGGGGAAATTGGGTGTGCTGAACTTCACAAATTTTAAAAAATTTTTATTTATTTATTTATTTAAATTGGAAAGTCAGATATACATAGAGAAGGAGAGACAGAGAGGAAGATCTTCTGAAGCCAGCATCCAGGAACTTCCTCCAGGTCTCCCACGCAGGTACAGGATCCCAAGGCTTTGGGCCATCCTTGATGCTTTTCTAGACCATAAGCAGGGAGCTGGATGGGAAGTGGGGCCGCTGGGATTAGAACCAGCACCCATATGGGATCCCGGCACATACAAGGCAAGGACTTTAGCCACTTGGCTACTATGCTGGGGCCATAATCTTTGCCTTGTAAGTTGAAAAGTTTTTTTTTTAATGCCTTCATTTGGCATGTTTTAAAAACTTACAACGGGGTAGACATTTAGCCTTGCTGTCAAGAAACATGTGAACCATGTAGGTGTATCAGCATTCAACACCCACCGATAGTTTCAGGAGTCGGGAGTGATGGTTCAAGTCATTGGGTTCTTGAAACCCAAGTAGGAGACCTGGACTGAGCCCCCAACTCTTGGCTTCCTGCTTGGTGAGTCCCATCCATTGCAAACATTTAGGGAGTAAACTAGAAGATGGGATCTCTGTCTCCTCAAACATATAAATCTTAATTTAAAAAAATCACATGATGAAAGTGTATTGTGGTAGACTGTCCTGGTTCTGGCATCTACCTACTGTGTAGGACTCCGAGAATTAATTAACCTCTCTACTAAAATCAGAAATGAGGCAAGCCATCCTAGATCACTTTTTGACCCAGAGTGAAGACAGCAGCAACACTCATGGCCAGAAAGGGGCAGGAGGCTGTGCCCTGCCTGCGGAGGGTGCTGTGTTCCTGCCCATCTGGATGTGTGTGGACGACAACTTGTTTGGCATTCTTGTTTTCAAATCAATGTTGTGTCTGTAGAACACCACTATGTTCAGTCCAGTCAGACAGTCACAGTTTCTGAAGTTGTAGTGTATTCAAAATTGAACAATGCTTAAGTTCTTATTCTAACTTCCAACTTATAATTTATTTGTGGTTTTTTGAACTTTAATGAGTAGTAGATGAAATAACTATTTTTTATAGAGTTCAAATGAAATATCTCTGAAGTTTCCATAGAACATGTAATTAATTGTCAGGATGTGGCTTCTAGTCTTATTAATTACACTGCTCTGATAAAGGTTCTTCTAAACTAACTTCCTTCAATTTTCTGCCTGTATTTGCTCTCAAATTTCACATTCTAGTGGGCTCGTTTCTCTTCAAGTGAGTGTACTCTTTCATGCCCGTAGGTCTGTGAACTTTCCATTGGCAGAGAAAATGATTTTCATTCTGGGGTGGCTTTTCTTTTTTCTGCCTCTATTTTTTTTCTAACTGTACCAAAAACATGGGGCTTTGAAAGCTTCTGATTGACCCTACCACAAATTTCATTCAATCCTTTTAGGAATTTTCTTCCTTCTCTTACAGGAACCACATTACCAGCAAAATATGAACGTAGGCTTTGAGTTGAAAAGCGCCTCTAAAACAAAATACAACAGCACAAAACAAAAACAGAAAAAGTACTCCTAAACATATAAAAGCTAGCAAGTATAGTTGAAATATGTATTCTTACTTTTTAGTTAAGATATATTCAATCTATTGTAACATTCAACATTTTAAGATATATCTTTTAGTTTATTCTCAAAACTGCAGCTATCACATGTATCAAATTCTAAAACCTTTCCTCATTCCCAAGTCATTCCCACCAGACCCTAGCAACAACTAATGTACTTTCTGTCTCTTTAGATTTGACCATCCTTAACATTTCATACGAATGTAATTACACAAAATACAGCATTTTCTGACTTTCTTCCATCTGCTGGTTCACTCCCCAAGTGGCCACAATGTCTGGAGTTGAGCCAATCCGAAGCCAGGATCCAGGAGTTTCTTCCGGGTCTCCCACATGAGTGCAGGGTCCCAAAGCTTTGGGTCATCCTTGACTGCTTTCCCAGACCATAAGCAGGGAGCTGGATGGGAAGCAGGGCCACCGGGATATGAACCGGTGACCATATGGGATCCTGGTGGGTATGCAAGGTGAGGATTGTAGCCAGTAGGCTATCGCACTAGGCCTGTACCTTAGGGTTTTCAAAGCTCACCCATGTTGTAGCATATGTCAGCATGGTATTTCTTTACCTTGCTAAATTATATTCACTTCTATACGAATGTATCACATATTGTGTATTCATTTCTCAATCAAGGAATATTCGGATTTTTTTTTTCCACTTTCAGGACTATTATCCATAGTGTTACTTTGAAACATGGGTGTGGGCTAGGTTTCAAAAACAGTGTCATTCAAAATTCAGAACTCAGACAAAAGATCAGTAGTGGGTCATTCATATCTTTAGGTGAGGTATATTTTAAATTACAGTATGTATTAATTAGTTAAAAGATTATCCTATTTATTTAAAAGGCAGTTTAAATATAACTTTTGAGCAGCACATTTTTTGTGTGCAAAAAGTCAAAGATAAAGAAATCATCAGCAAAATATTAGCCCATCTCTTTCAAAATAAAAGCTCAAAAAATCAAACAGACCAGGGTAGATTATAACTAAATGGAGGTGATTGTCAGTTAGAGGCATTTATTCTCTGTATTCGGTAATTGCCCTAAGCACACACACACACACAATCATGTAGTTATCTGTGGTTGAAGCACATAGTTCCTTGCTTATTTGTGTCCCTCTCTGTTTCAGGCAAATGCCCCCAGCCCTGTCGAAATGGAGGTAAATGTATTGGCAAGAGCAAGTGTAAGTGCTCCAAAGGTTACCAAGGAGACCTCTGTTCCAAGCGTGAGTATCCCAGGCCCATAGCCAATCTGGGTTAGGGTGTAATTAGGCCCACAGGAGTCTCACCACACACTTTCTGCGGATTGCATGTTGCCCGGACGCCAGTTAATCTTACCTTACTGACATACTGATTCCTTTATGGATGCCAGAGGTGTTACAATGAAATCCTTGCATGTACAAAAAAAGTCACATACGTTACTGGATTTTTTTTTTTTTTGTAACTCTTAAGGGTTTTCTTCAAGAAAATAAGCTTGCATTGCCCAGCACTTTCAAATTTTCCCGAACACCTTTGGTAGGTGAGAAACATCGTTCTTTTCTAAGGTTATTCAGGATTTTTCAAAAAGCTCAATACTGACTTACAGTTGGGTTATTGAGGAGAAGACTAATTAGAGGATGAAAACAAGACTAATTCACTCTAAAGAGCTGCAGGAAATACAGCTATGTCATTCTGTTGTGAGACGAAAGCTGAAGAGACATTATTTTTATCTCCTATGATTCTAGCCGTCTGTGAGCCTGGCTGCGGTGCACATGGGACTTGCCATGAACCCAACAAATGCCAATGTCAAGAAGGCTGGCACGGCAGACACTGCAATAAAAGTGAGTGGGATACCATCTTCTTTCATGTCTATTTCTGACTCCAAAGGATATTAGATAACCTGAAAATCATCTTGGTTAGATTTTATTAAAAGCAACTTCTTCTCTCCTCCTCCATGATCTCCCCACCTCTCTGAAAATCAGAATGTGAAGCATCAAAGCATAAGGAGTGAGGCATTGCTGTGAAATATCCCCACAAATATGTACTATGCTGCATGAGTAATAGGAGTTATTTGATCATATAGTATGTTGGTTGCACTGTAGGGGCTGCATTTGGGACACCTGTACTTCATGTAAGAGTGCCTGAATCCAAGTCTTAGCTCCACTCCTGATTTCAGCCTCCTGCTAATCTGTAATTTGGGAGGCAGCAGATGATGGCTCAAGAACTTTCTCTTCCAGAGAAACCAGTTTGGGGCTAAATGACTTATAGAAGAATACCATTTCTACAGCCACATGGAATAAATAAACCAAATCCTGTATGCTACCCTCATCTAGATTCAAAACCCAACCTTGTCCCACAATGACAATAACCTTTCAGAGGCTCTGGGGTGTGAGGATGACCTGATGTTAGACCAAACATCCTGGGACTCAATTACAAACATCTCTGGAACTCACCCGTGGGGCCTGGTAAGCACTGAGCGCGATGACGGTGAGCGCTGGAGCGCTCTTTCCTTTGCTATGCTCAGTTTCACTTCCAAAAGTGAGGCAAGTTAGGGGTTCCAGGATGTGGAGCAATGAATGCCAATACTGACAGGTCTGTCAGCCCCCAGGTAGCACCCATTGCAAGCCAGGCTGCTGTAGCTCCTACCATCTGTGGACGTCCTTTAGCTCAAGCCATCCCCTACCAAGAAGATGCCCTAGTGCTGCATTAAAATCGAAATATGTTTTCCTGGAGCAGCCACCCAGCTCTTTTGTACATTAACTAAGAGCTCAAGCTTGAAAGAGTAGCGTTTCTTTTGTCTAGAGGAAGGTGACAAGGAAGCTCTGAGTCACAGAGTTCTACTAAGAAGTGACTCCCAGTGGGGTGACATCTTGGGAGGTCCCATGCACCCAGGCATGACAGGGGCAGGAGGGATCTGCAGACAGACGTTCCCGCTCAGGCTCACCCTCACCAGCAGGGAGGTTGGGCTCCATGGGTGGCAGGACAAGCAACATGGTAGGGATTTACTTCAGGGCATTGTTTGCTGGTGTTGTGACCATCCCATAAGCTACTAGCTTGCCTGCTGACAATTCAAAGAAACACATTGAGGAACAAAGTATCCTGGTCTCAGTAGTTAAATGGCATGCTTGGATTCATAAACCACAAGGAACAAATGAAATTGCAGACTTGACTCTGATGCACAGCAAGATGGAGGCAGAACTTTCAAAGTAATTGCTGTTTTGGACCAGTTTTTGAAAATCAGAAATGAGTCAGAGCCCCAGGCACCTCTAGAAGTTCACAAGCCACAGGAAAGGAGGTCTCAAGTTATGTAACTTGGGGTTTTATTCCATTGCAACCAGCTGGAACCAGACAGATGAACACTTTGATGGAAATTCACAGATCCCCATTGCTAGGGCATCAGTTCACATCATAATCCTTTCTCTAACACTTAGGATGAAGGTACTTAATTCTCACAGAATTTCCATTTAGTGGGAGGCTAATAGCCACACCCAGTCATAGTGAAGAGTAGGGAGTGGATGGGGTTCATTTTTGAAACGGATCAATGTAAGTTGGTCTGAGTTTGCAAAGTATTGAAAAGAATCAATGACTAGATTTTCTACCAGGCATTCAAGACCTCAGTGCTAGATCCTTCTCAGAGCTTAGGTGAAGAATATCCTTCCATTCAATCAAATTTACCCAACCTTTTATTAACAAGAATTTCTGCATAGCCAAAATACATTTGAGTGGGAATTCTGATGGATCCATGTCTGCTGGAGTTAGTAAACTACGTTTCTATGAACAGGGATCTTGATCCTGCAACATTTCTTCATTCAGGTAGCTTTTTGTGGTTGAAAAGGGCAAATGGACTTCATTTGAATGGTTAATCATGAATCTGAAGAGCCTGGTTTTGTAGCTTTTCTTTTAAGCTGTGAATAATTTTTGCAGGGTATGGAGCCAGCCTCTTGCATGCCCTGAGGCCAGCAGGCACCCAGCTCAGGCAGCACACGCCTTCACTTAAAAAGGCTGGGGAGCAGCAGGATCCACCGGAATCCAATTACATTTGGTGAACTCCGGACATCTGCAACGTTTTAAGTTACACCAAGTTCATAGCCTTTGTTAACCTTTCATGTGTTGAATGTTCAAATAATGTTCATTACACGTAAAAATACTGGCCTGAATTTTATTAGCTTCATTATAAATCACTGAGTTGATATTTACTCTTCCTTTTAAGTTTTGTAAGTATATCTGTAGCATGATGATATAGATTTTCTTGTTTCAGAGCGTTGGGACAGATTTTATATCATGTCAGTAGATCAGGTTGAAATTTCATGTTTTCAGTGTGTGGTTGGCAGATGTTTTCAAAATTACAAGATGTTCTTGGTGTCAAAGGGCTGGGGAACATTAGAGAGGTTAAACTGGGCAAAAATGCAAAAATCACAAGGATTTGGATGAAATCATTTCCAGTGTTAAAGTTATTGCTTTTCAGGTTTTATTATCATATGTTTAAACATTGGTCACCTGTTTTAACTGCCTCTATTTTAAACTCTGATTCAATATATTTTGACCTTAACATTATTCCAGAGAGTTTTATACTGGAAAAAAATCCAAGAAATTATACTGTGGTAGTATCAGTTAAACAGTATAATATATTGTAAACACAGTGAAATAGGGAATATAATGTATGAACTGTTTTGCATTGGCTTGGAGCAATATAATATATTGTAAACAAAACACGGCTCTTACATAATAAACATTTTATACTGTTCGTATGTATAAAATAAAGGTGCTGCTTTAGTTTTCTGATGGTGTATGGAGTGGTATTTGTGTGTGCTATTTTAAGGAAATAAAGTTACAATGCAGCAGTAGTTAACATCATTTGGAAAAAAAAAAAAAAACAGCGATTCCATTCTGTAACCCTGCCATGGCGCTCTAGCCTCCCCGCTTCCTGCCTCCTCTCTGACTCCACCTCAGCCACAACACACCAACTGTTGGCACTACCTGACACACTTCCATATCATCTCAGCTGAGCTGTCATCTCCCTCAAGAACGCTTCTCTAGAATGTTTTAAATGCATGTCTTTTGCTATAACAAAATACACAAGGCTAGGTATGTCTAAAGAAAATAAACTTACTTGGTTCATGGTTTGGGAGGCTTGTAGGGCAACCGAGAAAATGGTGCCAGCATCTGGCAAGGGCTGTCATGCTGTGTCATATCAAGGTGGAAGGTGGAATTGCAAAACAGGACAAGAGCAAGAGAGCAAAAGAAGTGTGAATTCAGTTTTGTAACTGTCCGCTCATGATAACCAATCATGCACAGGATAGTAATAGTCAGGAGGACAAAGCCCTTCATGACCTCATTGCCTCACAACACTACTACACTGGGAATTAAGCTTTCAACACATGAAAACACACAAGCCATAGCAGAATCCTGACTTTCAAAGGTGTTGGAATTACAGTGTAGGCAGGCTCAGTCACGACTTAAAATACCAGCATCAACTGAGTACTAGTTCATGTCCCATCTACTCCACTTCCAATCCAGCTTTAGAGGACACCAGAGTACTTGGACCTTGCCACCGATATGGAATATCCAGATGAAGATTCTGGCTCTTGGCTTTGGCTTGGTCCAGCCCCAAGCCACTGTGACCATTTGAAGAATGGATCAGTAGACAGAAGATCTCTATATCTCTACCTCTCTTTCTGTAGTTCTGTATTTCAAACAAACAAACAAATAAAGTCTTTACCAAAATATTAGCTCACATTCTCTAGTATGAGCCCCAAGAGTTTCAGAAAAGAATATAAGAAATACTGCTACTTTTCAAAAACCTGTTGGTTGCCATACACATCGTACGTTCATGCATGATTTAATGAAGACGTATTCTGTGAAACATTTAAAGTGATTTTGTCATGGTGTGAACATAGTTACACAAATTAAGAAGGCTATGATGTTACAAGGCAATATAATTTCATATCACTATCATATTTGTGATCTATTTTGATCAGCATGTCATTCCATGGTGTACAATTGTACATGTTATCTTAATATCCTAAGAGGTGTGATTATGCCATTTTAGATAAATCAGAAAAACTGAGATGTAGAGGGAGTAGTTTATCCAAGATCAGACATGACAGGAAGATAGATGTCATCTGACTCCAAATTGTTAACACTATGCTACTCTCCCTCCTTAACTATTCTCACACAACAAAAAAGTCCACAAATCCTAGAATATGTCCATTCTTATTCTCCCAAAGGAATGAGGTCATTGCTTTAAAAGTACTCTAACTTCAATAGGTTTCTTTTGCTAGGCTGTGGCATAGTCAGCTACAGTATGCAGAGAGGAGACAGGCGGGCAGAATGTGATCAAAGAAGAGACTAATACAGAGAACTAACTCATCTTGTGTGGTGGTCTCAGGCTGCAGCAGTCTTTCTCTTTTAACCACCCAGAACCCAACTGGCTTATGGTCAAACACTTGGAATTCCGATGGTAGAACTAATTCATTTAGCTAGACATAAAAAGCAAAAGGCAAACGGAAACAATCAAGGCTGGTCATCTCCAAAGCATTTTAACTGAATACTCCACTAGACAATTTTGTGCACATAGTTCTACATATAACTTCAGTTACAAAAATGCAAGATATATTAAAAGAAGAAGATAAAAATAAAAATAGAAGCTCTAATGTTTTCTTTATCCCAAATATGGTTTTAGGTTTATCCTAAAGTGCACCTGTTTTCTGGAAGGATGACAACATCTGGAATGGTGTTAGAACCAGAACGAAGGGTAGACTTGAGAGAGATTTCAAATCTCAAAGGAGAGCAGATGATGAAGTGAAGGAAAAGGTCAAGAATTGAGAGAAATGTGGGTAGTGGCATTCATGACTAAGAGGGAAAAAAGGAAGATCCAGTGTGGGGCAAGGATGGATGGTTTCCAGAGATCCTGAATTGATTTCAGCATGTGGAGTTTAAAATAACTTTGAAACACTTTTTTGGAAATGAATGCCTGGTAGACATGTAAAAGTACAGCTAAGAGCTTAAAGGCAATTAATTTGTTCATTATTACTCACATTGTAATGGGCAACACCAATTATATATTAAATTCCTTTTAATACAAATATATACATTGGAACTTTGATAAGGAGACTAGGGCATTTCACTTATGTTTTGCAATGTTTATAGGTTCTATATATGTTTCACATATTTTATTACTTATCTCTATATTTATTTTCTTAACAGTAAGGCCTTTAATATTAAGTACTAAAACCTTTATTACCAGATGTGGCATGAATGTTTATCCAAAACCTACCCTTTGATTACTTTATTAACCTATATGGCATTTACACAATGAACCCATCTCTAAAACAAAAGCCAACACTTTTTACTTTATGGTATATGAAACTTTGGTTGTTACTTATAACTACCACTCAAGGGAAAGTAGAAGGGAAGAAAGGAAGAGAATATCAACATGAAAGATCTCTAGTGAGAATTTAAAAGTCAAAACAGAAAGAAGTTAAGGTACGCTGAAAAGATGTATATCACTTGGCAAGATAACCCAAGTATGAACAGGAAGAGAATGACAAGAAACCCTCCAAATGTTCATGAAAAAAAAAACATAATACAGAGAAATGATGCATGAATTTCAAAAACCTCTACACCAAAATAAACTTTCACCTTTTATTCAATTTTACACCAGCCTTTTAAAGAAGTGCCCTCCTCAAGGCTAAATAATAAAAGACTGAGGGAGCCCAGTATTGTGGTATAAAGGGTAAAGCCTTCTGCATATCGCATAGACACCAGTTCAAGACCCAGCTGTTCCACTTCCAGTTTGCATCCTTGCTAACATGCCGGGGAAAGCAGTGGAGGATGACCCAGTTGCTTGGGCCCCTGCACCTATGTGGGGGACCTAGAAGAAGCTCCAGCACCCTGGCTGTGGTCTGACACAGCCCCAGCTATTGCAGCCATTTGGGACATGAACCAGCAGATAGAAGCTCTCCTTATTCTCTTTTGTTCTCTTTCTCTCCTCTTTGCAATTTTCTTTTTCAAACAAATTTAAAAATACATCTTTTTAAAAAATTAAAACAGGCTGAGGAGTATGATTAGGAAAAGGGCACACAGAAATTCCTGCATAGTTTTAAGAAGTAGATACATATTTATGCCTGAGCTCTGCTCCAACCACAACTTTCGTGTTTGAGTCCTGAAGATTATTAAAAAAAAAAAAAGTCAAATCTATAAAAAAGAATACTTCCATGAGGCCTGGATCAAGAAATGTACATCTATGGGAAGTGATGGTTCTGGCATCCCTTTGGGCTGATGAATTTTAAAATATCTCTTATGAATGTGTCTACAGAGGAACTGTGTAAAGAAGAGATACAAAGCACAATTAAAAATAAGGCTCAGTATCTCCTCTACTATTCCAGAACATCCATCTCTGGCCCTGGTATTTGATGTTCCAGTCAGCCAACTAAAGTGCTAAAAATGGGTCCAATCAAGCCAACTTTACTGAGCATATTGTTAGTGGAGAATGTCCCTTGAAATTCCTCCTGCCCCAACTGTATTCTTAAAGCTTCTGTCAATTGTGCACATTATTTTTCCCAAAAGGAGTTGTGGTGATATTATGCCAAATGAAGTAAACCAACCACGAAGACACACACTGATGGCTTTTTATGTGAGGTTTTTAAAGTAACCAAAATCATAGAAGCAAAAGTATTATATACTTCACAGTGCTCAGTATGAGAAATTTTATAATGTTTTTCCCACCCATAAAAAGGAGTTATAATAACTAGATTATTTCCTACTTCATTCCATATCCAATGATCCTTAGGACACTTGAGCTTGATATGCGAAGCACAGCCCCCGGAATGAGCCAGCCCTTAAGTCACTAATTGAAAACAAAGAAATGTCCCCCTGGGTTCACACAGGTCAGAGTGTGGTGTGGTGCCCAATGCTCTCCATCATATGGACAAAATAATAACATACAGAACTATTTTTTTAATTGGAAAGTCAGATATATAGAGAGGAGGAGAGACAGAGAGGAAGATCTTCAGTCCAATGATTCACTCCCTAAATGGCTGCAATGGCCGGAGCTGCACTGATCTGAAGCCGGGATGCAGGAACTTCTTCCAGATCTCACACGTGAGTGCAGGGTCCCAAGGCTTTGGGCCATCCTTGACTGCTTTCCCAGGCCACAAGCAGGGAGCTGGATGGGAAGCGGGGCTGCCGGGATTAGAACCGGTGCCCAAATGGGATTCCAGTGCCTGTAAGGTGAGGACTTCAGCAGCTAGGCTACTGCACCGGGCCCTCTTCAACAGTCTTCAACTTTGCTTCAGAGATAGAGGTGGCAAGCAGAGAGCATAGGGTCACCATCTAAAGAGAAACAGGAGCCTAGGAGAAACAGGACCCTCTCATCTCGCTATAGCCGTTAACTTCAATGGGCACAAACCTATCCTATGTTGAGAAATAAAGGCTTTAGGCAGGATTGCTTTATTGGATTCCCTTGTCCTTAAATCTCATACCCCTGAAAGTAATTAACACTCCCTAAACACAAGATAAGATGATCCTAAATTACTGCTTAGCTTTTTCAGAACAATAACAACAAAAAAAAAATACAACGACTTTCAGTCTAAGTAAGGAGTCCTAGTCAAAATAGTAGTAGCTGCAATGGTGATTGGATCTCTCTAACTCTCCTAGTCCCCTCTCTTTTTTCCTTTCTCTCTCTCTCTTCCTTCCTTTCTCCCTCCATCTTTTCCTCTGTTGCTCGGCCAAATAAATTTTTTTCAAAATTAAAATTGGAACAGACTACTAGCCTAGTG